GTTATTAGGGAGGAAAACCCGTCTGGATAACAGCAGACTGACTGCGCGTAAAATATACGACAGGTCTGGACCACTCGTGAAATTTGTTCGTATCTGAAAAAAATCTTAGAATACGAAAATATTGGTGAATGCCACAAATTCTCCTAAATCACTCGTACGCACAACTTAAGAACAAATCTGTGCGTACGAACAGTTCTTGCATGAGGCCCACTGTCTCTTTCAAGTCACTCCTAAAAACCCACTTTTCACTCAAGCGTTTTAGTTAATCTTTTTCACCATTAATGCCAGCCTACCTCAAATGTAAAAGCTCATTAATCTGTGTTTGTAATTATTGAACTTACGCCATATTTTCTCACCCGCATTCTTTATGTTTTTTGTGTATTATTGTATATTTTGCCCTGCATTGACCTTGTGTTTGATTTACAATTTTAGAAATCTTTTTCTTGATTTGATGTTTAAATTTTTCGTTGCTTATGTTTAATTATGTTTTTCTGTTTCATCTTATTATTTTCACCATTTTTATACTGTTAATGATTGTGCAGCACCTTGGGAATATATTTCTGTGAAAGGCGCTTTATAAATAAAACTTTACTTACTTTACTTTACTTAATGGGGTTGGGTGGGGGGATGATATAATGTCATTCCCTCATCAAAAACAAAGTGTTGAGTGTTGCTTTGACTCATTCCAGCATGGTTGAGAAATCCTTGTATCTCCTCTGAAAGCCTTAACACTTGTTGATACAAAGTGTTCTCAGAATTTATGTCCAGAGTTTCATGAGATAGTTTGATGAAAGACAAACACATACGCTCACAATATATTTGTGAGTGTATGTGTTTGTCTTGTCTTGTCTTTGTCACACACACACACACACACACACACACACACACACACATATAAAACCATTATCTCCCGCTCATCTTTTATTGCTAAGTGGCAATAAGCAATGTGTGGATCAATGCTGAAATACCGTTMCCACTGATACCAGAACTTTATGCTCTAGAATCGATACTAATATCAAAATATCAATACTTTACCAGGAACACAGTGGAATAACTAATTGATTGAAATCTTGTCAAGATCATATGCAGTTGGTGGGGACTACTTTTTCTTTCGAATGGCCACAATCCTTGCGATTGYGAATCGTTTTAACATATTCCGATCACATCGATTTTCAAGGTGGATCACGTGTAAAAACATGGTAAATTCATGTGTTTTTTTCTGAAATGCAAGCCTTCCTAAAGCAAGCTGTTTTCAAATGAAAAGTKAGTTTACTTTTTGATTTCAAAAATTCATTGAGAGTTTTGATGTGAAGTCATTTGAATGCTGACCTTTGCTGATCGTAGATGGACTCTTTTCTGCGGCAGTGCAGAGTTACCACTCGATGACCTTCACTCCTCACATCCTGGCTAACTATCCACTGAGTGGGGTTGCTGGGACGAGCCCCGAGGAATGTCACTCCTTCTTTCAACTTCACTCTGCAGAAAAAGACAAATACATGAATACATAAAATAGACATTACAAAAAGTGCACATTTTAACTAAGATTAATATCTTACAGCCTCACTTGAGCAAATTTTGACATGGATCTTGCAGATTATTATAAAAAACAATTTAATAATTACATTTTATAAACATTTTTTCTATTTTTTTTATTTGTTTTTGTGGTTGTCGTCATGTGAATAAATCCACATGGTTCATTACATTACGGTACCTTTCCCTGTTGTGAAAGAGTTTCTTTGAAACAAATCGCTTTAATTTCCCATGAGAACAACTGATTTTAATAAATAGAAAATGTAACAATAGCTTTCTTAACTTGTGACCATTTGCATATCTTTAGGTTAAATGTTTCAAAATAAAGAAAAATGTACTGATATTTTCTGTTGTCTGTGGTGAAGCAGCTGTTTGACATTAAATGGGGTATTGGTTGTAAGTACAACCCTATTATGACACTTTCTCTTCTTTATCTGCCTCAGTAATAGATTTTCTTCATGCAGCATGAAAAAGATATTATGGAAATGTTTCTTTGGCTGGTAAAGTTACATCAGTGTCTTTGGCTCAGTGGACTACAAAGAGGGAAAATATCTGTAGGGAAATAAAGCAAATAAAATCTGAGTAAATGTAATCCATATTATAAAGTACCCAGTGTGCAGAGTCTGAGTTAAAGGTAGAAGCGCTGACATGTAATAGATTTAGACTAATGTTGCATAAAATAACATATTCAAAGGCTTGTGTGATTTTATCTGAGAGTGACAGTGAAGTACCAAGATTGAAGAGCAGACTAAATTAAAACAGAAGGCCCAATCACTTTCCCTGTCCAGACCATACCAGGTTGGCAGATGAGACCAAAGAGAGGGCTCCGCTTTCATCTTGAATTTGTTGCTGCCCTTTTTAGATGCAATTGCCTATCTGTCTTCCGATGAATATATCTGCCCTCCCCAATCAGGCCCATTTCTTTGATGTGATACCTTGTCACGCTGGGCTGCAGGTTGCAAGTGAGAAATCAAAATGGAATTAATGATAAACAGGAAATCTTAAGGGTTCAATTCAAACGTCCATGTTGGTATTTTTTTTTAATCTGCAAAAGGTTATTATTATAGATTCCTGTCTTTCTCGTGTATTCTTTTTTTTGGGGGCGGGGGTTGTATAAAGTATCCATTGATTTCTCTGCATCACTTCTTTACAGTTATAGTGAAAATGAAATGTTCAAGGTTTTCAGACAGTGGTAAATTATAACTTTCCTCCTTTCTGTGAATTTTAAGGTTATTGTTCCTCCTGACCAGACTAGTTTTACAGAAATACATGAAATGAGTCGGCATTTAAATACTACATCATCTTTTGGAGGCACATATACTGCTAAAACAAGGATACCATAGAAAGTGAATATCTTCTCCTCCTTTGTCTATAAGTCATGGATCTGTCAGACCTGTCGGCTTGGTTACCAGGGAGCAAAGCTCTGCCCCAGGCAGTAGAGACGACACCACTTTGATGCTGGAGACCCATTCATTTTGAGTAGAAACTGGTTTCCCTTGTTTTCCACGTCAACTCAGGCTTCTCAGATCTTATATTTTTTCATAAACTAAGTGGAATGTTTTTTGTTTGTTTGTTTGTTTGTTTGTTTGTTTGTTTGTTTGTTTGTTTGTTTGTTTAAAACTCAACTAATTTGTTAAAAAAACAAGTGCCCAAATTTACAAAATGACATCAAAAGCAGATCAATAGTAGCCTCTTTCTCAAAACATTCTCTGTCTCGATGTGAGCTGTGTAACAACCAATGCAGCATGGGTGGTCCACCCGCCACTGTTACGTTCCTTTGGTGGCAAGAAAAGTAGTCAGAGTCAAACTGACAAATATATTTAAAATAGAGTATGATACATATAATGCATTTTTGCATTGTAAGGCTTGGCTCAGCCTGTCCTCGCTCCAGTCAGCCCAGCCTTACCGCAGCCCTCGTGGTGTTTGCATTGAGCAGAGAGCTGCCTCGAAGTGGGCGGGATAAGCATGTTGAACACACATGAATCTTATTTAGTTTTATTTATGACACAACAAATAAGATTTGAACCGGACCATCCAGCAGTATGACACATAAGATGAGAAGACAGGACAGCAGAAAACAATCATTCAATGTTAGCTTGTTGTTGTTGTTTGATAGCTTGTTTTTGTTGTCTAGTTAAACCCATGAAAAAAAATGTTAGTTGTTGAAAACAATCCATGTGAAGTTACTATGATCTGTATGACATAACCCCCTCAGTCAGTGAACCAATCAATGAGCAACAGTAGCTGACGTCAAAATGGGCTGGGCGCCCCATCCCAGATAGAACCACAGGTCTCGGGGTTCCAGAAATCAGGTTGGAACTAGACAGTGGGCAGCGCTAATCCAAAAATTAGCTCTGCAGCTTTTAAAGCGCTTATGAAAATATTTAGGTCTGCAACTTCAAAAGCACTTATGCCATAGAAAAACTAGCGGAAACTAATTTCAAAGCGCAAATTCAATTTGACACTTACTAGCTGGCAATAATTCATGTACAATATATACACAACACTGTCAACTAGCGGTGTATGAACACTTTTATAGCTTAATCCTACAACCGCCGATTGCTGGGGAAGTGATTTCCTGAAACGGACCTTTAGTTCCTGGTGTAAAAATTGAAACCTTTCCAGAAGAGGACTCTCCTCTCTCACTCTCTGTGCTCCTCTGCCCAGACTCCTACAGGTCAATAGGGATGGTGAAGTAATTATTATTAGTCTATTATTATTATCTACTGATGATATTCAGATGTGAATAAGCTCAGCTCCTGTTTCACAGTGTGCAAAGAGCCATGTGTAAAGTAAGAAACACAGCTGGTGCTGCAGAAGGAAGTCCACCCAAAGACAGTAGAAGGAAAAGATGAGACTTTAAACACCTAGAACTAGGTAGCAAAGTAACAGAGTTCTTTGGAACGTAATGCTCTGTTTTGGAGTGTGCAAACCAGGGTTTTATTTGTCAAACAGGGAACACTTGGTTCATTAATTGCACGGGACTTTTTGCTGTTGAGGCTGGTGTTAATTGTTACTTCTATAAACATTTTTAAAGAGTACACATTCAGTTGGCTACTGGGTTGCATGAAATACAGCCTGAATACCTGAATGAATACATACATGAAAATACATCATTGGTCCTACTTGGCTAAACCAAAACAGGAGAAAATGCCTCAGCAYTCTGCAGCATTTTGTCCAAACCACATTTGACATCAGGGCTTGAGGGATAACTTCACAAGTAAGGTGAACACATTACATTTTGTATTTTGTGAATCAACTATTACTACACTGTATTAAATGCTATA